CCCAAATGCCTCCAGAAATCCCTAAAAAGTAAATTCAAATAACATTAATACGTATATCATATAATCATAGGCTTAATAAAGAATATTACTTAACACACAAAACCATACTAGATCATTTAATCAAAATGTATGACTTGAATGTAATTAGCTTAATATACTAATTGTGCTCAATCAATTCAGTCCTGCACAATATATCCTTTATCTTATAGACAATACAAAGATAAAACTTTCTCTGATTAAAAAAAACAAAAGAACAAGGTTTGGCAATTCGCTGCACTCGGGGGACTGTCATTTGTTTTTCTTTAATAAGAAACCTATTCGTTATTTTCCTTGCTAATGGCGTTCCAACATTAAGCCTTAAGTGCCATGCGGGTTAGTCTTGAACATAATAAAAAAGTAGGTTATTACAAACTCCAACCTATAATTCGCAAGCACTAATCATTTAATCGTACAAAGTGGAACGCCCATGGAGGATCAATGTAGCAGTTGATAGCCTCTCTCTAGAGAAAGAATGATGTATCTGGTTCTAAGCAATGATAGCACTTACCTTCTGTTCCTAGTCCAAGAAAATTTACAAGAAATAACCAAACAAATGCTACTCATTATACTACCAGGAATCAGCCTCACAAAATGGAGGGGACCCTCATTTGGCAGCATTGGCAAACATCATAAGGTACCAGGATTATATAATACCACAAAGTCAATATCCTAATTAGTCGAAATGCCAAGAACCTTTAGGAGTTGATACTACGAGAGTATCGTAACCAAGGTTTTAAATGTCGGTTATCGGAGATTTATCGGACTGTCAAAATTCTTATCGGATAGCGGAAATCGGGGATATATCGGGGATAAGTAGTATTTATCGGAGTAATATACTAGCAAATAATAAACAAACATAAGCTTGAAAAATAATATAATGTTAGTCAAAATGAAATAATAAACTAGCAAATAATAAGATAACATCAAGAATGAAGAACCATCTACGCATCTACATAATTATTGTTTAATCATGAGATTCATAAACTAACTTACTAAGTTGATATTTAGTAGTTATGAGCCATTATCAATATCCATAAACAAACATAAGCTAATCACCAATCAACCAAGTTCCAAAAGCAACAAATAGTTCATAATTTGTAAACATTTAAAGAGCAAATCCAAAAGAAAGTAAAAGCTCTCAAATCCTACTTATCGGCCGATAAAGCCGATATTTAGAGCCTACTTATCGGCCGATAAGTACCTTTATCGTCGATAACTCGCCGATAAACCTCAAAAAACGATAACCGATTAAAAATCCTCCTTATCCTAGCGGAAAGCTCCCAAATCCGATAACTCGGCGATAATATCGGATTATCGGCCGATATTTAAAACCATGATCGTAACTAATCTTTAGCTGGACATTCTGGCTGTTTAAGAACCCTACATAGGCTTGGTAGTGCATTCTATTGAAAAGATGAAGACTGAAGAGGTATAGTTACATGGTATTGGTTTAATACCTCATAGAAGACCTTAATCAAAATAACCCCTTTGGAGAACGTTTAGGAGTGTTAGAGACCCTACAAAGTCCTGTGAAGAATAAGAGTTTGTTGCAAGAAGTAACCAGGACCAGAAACAATCAAAGGCCTAGCTAATGGCGTATATGGATGTGCTCCCTTCTAACATTGGATTCTTGCCGAAGTTGCATGGGTATGGGTACAGGCACAGGACACGGCAAATTTACACAAGGTACGGTATGGGGACACGACTATTTAAATGTTTATTTACACATATATTGTATACTAAAATTAATAGTTTGTACGAGATAACAATGTTACATTATTGCTGGGCGCTTCTAGGCGTCAGACTTGGCGCCCAGCGCTTAGTCGCTTAGGCGGACGCCTAAGCGGTTTCTGGGCATTTTTTTTCTTTCTTCATTTAAGTGGTGGTCGATGAGGTTTTGCTGAAGGTCGGAGGAGGTAGTGAAGATGATCATATTTGGAGGTTAATGGAGTTTGTAGGACGTGTAGACTACGACACATAAAATCACAATCAATGCCTACAGGGTGCAATCCACGTAAGCAGACAATACTCCCCTAAACGCTCGTAAAATCTAGGTGGGCAGTCTAAATACCGCCTAGGCGCTAGGCGCTAGTTAGGCGACCTAGGTACCGCCTAGGCCTAGGCATACGCCTAAGCGGACTAGACGGAGGTTTTTTAAAACAGTGCGAGATAAGATCAATTTTTTTATTCATGTATTATGAGAATTAAACTTCCTATAATATTCTTGTGTTTATTTTACTATGTAGATTATAAATTGTAAAAACACTTTTTTTGAACTAGACACCCAAATGACCACTAAAATCATAGTTTGGAACCAAACGAGTTTCAAGTATAGTAGATGTGAATTTGCATCCGGGAAATGTCTGACAAGTGCTCTAAATTAAAACATCTATTTTTTTAGTTAAATACAAGCCTGAATAATTGTATGCATATATGCAAGGAGTGTCCAAGGTGCTTAGGTACGGATATAGGCATGGGTACATATGTCGTATGGATATGGCTTTAGGATAGAAGTACCTAACAAAAATAGATTCTTGCTATTGATCAAAACGAGGGAATGGATCTACAGTTCAATCAACAGACTATATCGGTGGGTCTTGCTCTTGGTGGTTCCTTGACCAATGCACAACCGATTTTATGACTCAAATCAAAGGAAATGGTTTCCATGATGATAGACGGTTTCAACTGTCAGACAACACTTTGGTTTCTTCATTGACTGATGCTCAACCGAGCTCTCCTAATGTGAAGGTTCAAGAGAATTTCCAGCATCTAAGCATTTGTTTCCAGTTATAAGGAGTGGCCTAATTAGCTTAGCATCTCAAGACCAAACTGAGGAAGTGTTTGGCCCATGCGAGTCACAATCTAGCTACTTGAGTTTTGATACAAGCTGTAACTTTTCACTTTTTAAACTGGGCTTATATGTAAAATGTCAACCACGTATGTGTTGGAAGATATGAGATCATTTTAATGGTTCAACAGAAATGGTTCGCAATGACCTGAAGCCATGTCATTTAGCGCTCAGCCTATAAATAGGCCAGACTGTCAACATTAACTCCCACCCCACCTACTCCCCCCCACCCTGCTCAAAAAAAAAAAAGGTTTCAAGAAAATGTAGAGTGGATCTACAGTTCAATCAACAGACTATATCGGTGGGTCTTGCTCTTGGTGGTTCCTTGACCAATGCACAACCGATTTTATGACTCAAATCAAAGGAAATGGTTTCCATGATGATAGACGGTTTCAACTGTCAGACAACACTTTGGTTTCTTCATTGACTGATGCTCAACCGAGCTCTCCTAATGTGAAGGTTCAAGAGAATTTCCAGCATCTAAGCATTTGTTTCCAGTTATAAGGAGTGGCCTAATTAGCTTAGCATCTCAAGACCAAACTGAGGAAGTGTTTGGCCCATGCGAGTCACAATCTAGCTACTTGAGTTTTGATACAAGCTGTAACTTTTCACTTTTTAAACTGGGCTTATATGTAAAATGTCAACCACGTATGTGTTGGAAGATATGAGATCATTTTAATGGTTCAACAGAAATGGTTCGCAATGACCTGAAGCCATGTCATTTAGCGCTCAGCCTATAAATAGGCCAGACTGTCAACATTAACTCCCACCCCACCTACTCCCCCCCACCCTGCTCAAAAAAAAAAAAGGTTTCAAGAAAATGTAGAGTTATCAACAAACTCATTTTCCCTCTTCTTTACCATCTTCTTCTTCTTCTTCTTCTTCAGAGCTAGGGTATATAACTCTTGCTACTATAACATCTATAGGATGTCACGGAAAAGATAAGACCGTGATCTCCACAGGGATTCACTTCCCTAGGGTTTTCAAGTCTAACTCTCAACTCTAAAGGGCATCACTAACAATCAAAAAACTAACCTAATAAACCCGTTATCAATGACACCAAATCTTCACAAAACCTCAACCAACCAGATCAAGAATAAAAACCCATAACCAAATTCCACAAATAACCAACAAACCTAAAAAATAAGAGAACAACAACTCACTGTCCTTGTGATCTCCACAGGGATTCACTTCCCTAGGGTTCTCAGAATCCACAATCAAATTCCTCAAAGAACCAATAAACCCTAAATAGAGCCACATTGTACCACAAAAAAAGAATCAATAAACTTTAAAATTCTAAACAAACTCTGTTTCCCTCTTCTTTGATGTCTTCTTGTTCTTTTTCTCTTCCATAAATAAGATTTAAAGCTCTTCCTACTTTAAAGTCCATAGGATGTTACAGAAAAGATGGGCTGTGATCTCCACAGGAATTCAACTATCAACCACATTAAGCCTCAACAAAACCTCAACCAACCAGTTCAAGAATCAAAGCTGACAACCAAATTCGACAAAGAACCAACAAACCATAGATAAATCATCATTAATTACCACATAATTCAAGTAAAAAAAAGAGAACAATTCATCACTGTCCTTGTGATCTCCACAGGGATTCACTTCCCTGGGGTCTTCAGAACTCACAATCAAATTCCCCAAGAACCAACAAACCTTAAACAAACCCACATTTACCACCAAAAAAGCAAATCAAGAAATTTTTAATTTCTGAATAAATTCCATATCCGCCACCTTCTTCTTCCTCCTCCAAAGCCAGCGTCTCTACTTCTTGGCACTCTAACATCACTAATGAAGAGACAAATTCCTCGAAGAAGGGCGCTATGGTTTGTTGTTGTTTTTTTTTTTTTTGGTGGGGGATTTGGGGAGGAGGCGGTGGCAGCAAAAATTAAAAATTGAACCTAATAAACCCAGTATCTAGAATCAAGATCCACAACAAAGTTCCTCAAGGAACCAGCAAAACCCTGAACATAAAAACCAAACTTCACTTCCCTAGGGTTTCAAGGCATCCTAATAAGAATCCAGACCCACAATCAAATTCCCCGAATTACCAAAAAAAACTCTATAATGTATATTAAAAAACGCGAACAAATCAAGAACTTACTTTCCTCCCTCTGATCACGTGCTCGACCGGAAGAACACGATCGAGGGTCGCCTGCTCAGCGAAAAGGACGAACCCGTACTTTCTCGACTGCTTAGTTATCCGATTTCTGGAGATCTTGGCGTCCAGAACCTCGCCGTACCTCCCAAAATATCCCATCAACATCTCCTCTGTGGTGTCCCCAGTTAGCCCCCTGATGAAGATCTTCGCTTCGTCGCCCATTGTTAGATCCCAGTTATCCCAAAATATCCCATCAAAAAAACCCGTGCTTTGCACGGACAGCAGACTAGTATTTTAGATAGATGAAGAGTAAGTTTATATAATTCATCTCCGTGAGTGAAGCAGAAGATGTATAAAATCCAAATGGAATTTCTTTGGACAATTATTGAGAAGTAACTATGATAGTTCTAGCTTCTCTCGAATGCATGTTAATAAAAAAAATTTAAGAAAAAATCGCGTTAAGTTATTAAAATATCTTAAAAATCTCCGAAAAACTCTCCAAAGTCAGGATAAGCAGTAATTCAATCTCTCACTAATGAAACACGACTCTTTTGTAATAAATAAAACATTAGTTACCCATGATTAGTTATTCAACTATACTATGAAGATTATAGATCTCAGATAATAATTTCTTGCACCAGATTTAACCGTTTGAGGACTAATATTTGAAGTTTCTATCTCACAAAACATTGTCAGAACATATATCAAGCCAAAGTTTGCTCAACAACAAGCTTTTCGACACAACTTGGTAATCATTCATATCCCACGCCGATATCCATAATCCATAATCCAAACTTTGGTGCACATGACCTTGCATACAAACTCAACCCTGACAATAATCCAAATGCGGCGCATTGAGATCGAGATCATCCATAATCCATCTATTTCTTCCTACTATCTTCGCAAATTTGAAAATTGCCAAGAGTGTACATTTGTTGGACTATCATGAATCACGGATAGTTTGTCTATATGTCCGTATTCTCTGTACACTCTTTAACAACAAGTTTCTGTATTCTCTGTACACTGTTTAACAAGACAAAGAATGAGCAGTTTTTTAATGGAACTTTACATCAATTTTTCAATCTTCACTGTACACTATTTAACAACAAGTTTCCGTATTCTCTGTACACTCTTTAACAAGTTTTAGTATTTGCTATACACTATGTAACAACAAGTTTCCGTATTCTCTGTACACTCTTTAACAAGTTTTAGTATTTGCTATACAGTATTTAACTACAAGTTTTTGTATTCACTGTACATCACCACGGCTCCATTCAAATGTATCCTCTGTTCAGCAAACTGGAGAGGTTCCTCACTTCACCGAATACCCAACATTTGGTGCTGAGAGCGAAAGAGTTGTTGATATCATCATATAACCTGCATGAACAGAAAATGCACAAAGAACAGTCAGGACATTGTTTCTATATAACAGTACAACCCCTATGATGCTAATTCTCTACTCAACTGCAAACTCCCATCCTCTATGCTACTTTCTACATGTTTAACCATTCTAAAGCTACTGATGATTCTTTGAAAGATAGACATCTTATATCATACATACCAAAGAAGCTGATGGAATTAGGCTATATTTTTAATGCTTGCAATATCCATATCTCTGTCTCTGTGTATATATAAGCATGAGACTTGCCGCTACTGTGGAAAAAGGTAACGTGTCAGAGAAGATAAAAATGTTTGAGCTATATCTTTCTCAACCTATGTAGTGTGCCCTACGCATGTCGTGCCTGAATTGGACATAGACACTTGACTCTCCTTGGATATATGCACAGTTACTTAAACATGCACTCAATTATACAATAGATTAAAAGATAGGATAAGAAATGAATGCATCCATAGTAAATTAGAGGTTGCTCCTATTGAGGATAAAATGAGAGACAATAGACTAAGATGGTTTGGGCACATACAACGGAGACCCCCTTAGTGTACCGATTAGGAAAAGCGATAATATTAGAGTTAATGGGGCTAGGAGATCTAGAGATAAAGAACAATTTTTCAAAACAGCCCCATTTCATTTTTTTTTTAAATCGATCCATTTTTTTGTTGTGCACAGCGGAAATTTCGGCAGAGTTTCTGGTGCACAATAAGAGAGAAAGATCGATAAGAATTCTTGTTTCTCAAAGGGAACAAGAATCTGAAGTCTAATATCTCATCAAAGTGGGATATTAGCTCTTCCTCTCGTCAGCTCTAGGACTGCGCGTCGAGGGATCCTAAAAACTATTACAATTGCCACAAACTCAAACAAACCAATTTTACGTGGTTCGACAAACTGCCTACGTCCACGGGACAAGGAGGGGGAGATCTACTAATAGAGGAAAAGAGAATACAAATAGGGTTTACAATCTCTCAAATCTAAACCCTCAAACAATCTCTCAGATCCCTCACACAGATACTCTCTCAAAAGAATGCAAAAACCCCTCTCAAATTTGGCTCCACTTTTCTCTCTCAACACAGCGGATTTTTCTCTGCTTTTGCACTCTGCACACAGCAGTTTTTCTCCCCCTTTTCGTACTTGCACTTTTCACCAAAAGCCGCTGCACCCCCTCACTTCGCACCCCTTTTTGCTGCACGAAACCCTAGGCTATATATATAGCCAATATTCGGGTGGATCCTAAGAGAAAAAAAAAATCGCTGGACAAATCTACCATGTAAAGTTTGTGGTCCCCACACATGTGCGTTCCCATCAATCAACTATTCTCCACATCGGTGAAGTTTTCCCAAAAATGAGCCGACACCAACCAAACAAATGTCCCACTTATTGCATCCAGGACGAAGTGAAACAATTCACGAAAACAGACTCAATCCTCAACAAGTCGAGACCCAAACGAGAATGCAAACCCTCTCCCAAATGTCGGTATCAACTCACCAAATCGAACTCACTCCCATCAAAAATCCAAAACCGGCTGCATCTAAAAGACTGCCTACGTATCCTCTTGCCCAAGGAATCAAGCCTTACGTAGTTCACCCAAATCGCCGCGAACGACCTCAAACCAATAGAAGAGTTCGTAACCCTTCTCTAATATCATTAATTCTGCGGCTGATAGCACCTCCAATGGCCTCAAACACCTCCACCTGAGGCGAACCAATGGTCATATCCAAACTATGTCTGCCAGCTGCACTCGATTCAAAACCCAACTCATCATCTGCACATAAATCCAAATGACTCCCACGCTGTGTCACCTCAGCTGGAATCCCAACAAATGCAGAATGATCTAGAGTAATCTTTACCCAATGTGGAGTAGCATTACTCTCCACCCACTGTGATACCTCTAAGGTCTGTCCAAAACTCTCCACCTGTTGAGAGTCAATTAGCTTCCTCATCGAAGCCTCAACCAAAGTGACACTACCAGACCTATCTTCCAATGGAGTTTTACCTCCAATTGCCACAGTTGACAACTCTTTAATAGGATGACCCAAATATATCGAAGCCTCTGTCCAGAAACTCTTCTGCAAACCATTGCTCGACCACAAACACCGATCCTCCTCCAGCAAGGCACGGTTCTCCAAATTTATCACCTTATCTAGTTGCCCCAAGATTTCCTTTCCAACGAAGTGTCTCGAAATGCCGTGAGCTCGGTTCCAATACAGAAATAGGTCAATCTTGTACCTTCCACCAGAATGGAGTACCTTCACCTTTCTGTCTATTACACACTTCTTCAATCTGTTGGATACTACTAGGACTTTCTCCAAAGTGGATTTGGTTGCAACCCAAACACGCCTAGAACAGTCACCAACAAAGGAAACCAAATGCCTATTACCTCCCAATGATGCCCCCTTGGAAGGCCCTCAAACATTCACGTGAACTCCTCTAGAACGACCCTTAGCACGGTGAATAGAGGTGTCAAACTTCACCTCGGTCTTCTTGCTCACATCAACATGTTCACTGGACTTCAAACTGCAGGTCTTCGCACCCTCTTTCAATCTATGTGAGGAATCAATACTGGAATGGCCAAGCCCCAAATACCGCAGTCTAGTCGAATCAACAGAAGTCGTCAGCTCTCCACCTGTCACTATACCTCCAGTCAAGTAATACAGGTTATTTCTCCTGACACCCTTCATCAAAATACGAGAGTCTCTCGTAATCTCTCAGATTCCTCCGAATAGCTATCTGTAGGACTGATAGAAAGCGAATAAATAGAAGAGTCAGAATTATTACCATCCGATACGATGTTTGCTTCTGATGATGGTTGCTTCCCTTTTCCCTTCTGCTTATTCTTCATCCATTCGTCGAGCTTTGGGCAGTCTTTCTTCCAATGACCAGTCTCCTTGCACCAAGCACACTGATCTTTTCCTACTCTAGACTGTGACTTCCAATTCTTTCGGTTTGGACCCTTCCCTATTGCGGCTAACGCCTCTGCTACCGACTCAGTTGAAGTCTCTTTATCCTTCTTCCGAAGCTGATAATTCACCAATGCAGCAGTGACCTCACTATACGAAAGAGATGTCTTCCCATTAATCAGAGTAAGGACGAAGGTTTCATATTCCTCGTCGGGCAAGAAACTCAACAACAGCAACGCCTTGTCCTCACCCTCAATTATGACATCCACATTCGCCAAATCCGCAAGAAGCTTTGTGTAGTGGTTCATGTGATCTCTAATGGAGGTTCTCTTCTTCAACTGGAAACGATAAAGTTTCCTCTTCAAATGCAAGCGGTTCTCAACACTCTTTGTCAGATACTTACTTTCGAGAATCTCCCAAATCTTCTTTGCAGAAGTCTCATTCATCACATCATATTTTAGATCTTGAGTCAAACAAGACCTAACCACACCACACGCTGTTCGATTCATCTTCTTCCAAACTTTCTCTTCAATCTCATCTGGCTTGCCATCTAACTCCAAGGTATCCTCCAAATTCTGCGCGTTCAGCGCATCCAAAACCTCGCATCTCCATAATTCAAAATTATTTGTGCCATTAAACTTCTCCACATCTTTCTTCATAGAGTGGTTATTCAAACTCTGAATAGTCTTCGCGCCAGAAGCACCACCCTCGACACCCGAAGCACCTTCTTTCCCCGACATCTTACGCACCAACGAACAAAGAATAGATCCAAAACTGAAAGATAGACTCATTACCAAAAGATCTCACCTTTATCACCAAACGAAGCCCTAGACGAGCCTCCAAATTGATCTACTCCTCCAAATAGCCCAAACGTAGCCCGGGCTCTGATACCACTTGTTGTGCACAACGAAAATTTTGGCAGAGTTTTTGGTGCACAATAAGAGAGAAAGATCGATAAAAATTCTTGTTTCTCAAAGGGAACAAGAATCTGAAGTCTAATATCTCATCAAAGTGGGATATTAGCTCTTCCTCTCGTCAGCTCTAGGACTGCGCGTCGAGGGATCCTAAAAACCAATTTTACGTGGTTCGACAAACTGCCTACGTCCACGGGACAAGGAGGGGGAGATCTACTAATAGAGGAAAAGAGAATACAAATAGGGTTTACAATCTCTCAAATCTAAACCCTCAAACAATCTCTCAGATCCCTCACACAGATACTCTCTCAAAAGAATGCAAAAACCCCTCTCAAATTCGGCTCCACTTTTCTCTCTCAACACAGCCGATTTTTCTCTGCTTTTGCACTCTGCACACAGCAGTTTTTCTCCCCCTTTTCGTACTTGCACTTTTCACCAAAAGCCGCTGCACCCCCTCACTTCGCACCGCTTTTTGCTGCACGAAACCCTAGGCTATATATATAGCCAATATTCGGGTGGATCCTAAGAGAAAAAAAAACCGCTGGACAAATCTACCATGTAAAGTTTGTGGTCCCCACACATGTGCGTTCCCATCAATCAATATTTTTTATTTACCAAAACCGATCCGTTTTTGACCACGTCAGCCTAATCACCCTCCTAAACAGTCGGGGTTGTCAACCCCGACTATTTAGGATATAAAATTTTAGGGTTTAAGACTTCTAATTAGGGTTTAACACCCTCCTAAATAGTCGGGGTTGGCAACCCCGACTGTTTAGGAGGGTGATACACCCTCCTAAATAGTCGGGGTTGGCAACCCCGACTGTTTAGGAGGGTGATTAGGCTGACGTGGCAAATAACGGATCGGTTTTGGTAAATAAAAAAATGGGTCGATTTTAAAAATAAAAAAAATGAAATGGGGCTGTTTTGAAAAATTGTTCAGAGATAAACCCCAAAATGACTTGGTTAGAAGCAATTAAGAAGAATAACGGAGGAGATGACTCATAACACATTGGAATGGAAAAATAGGATTCATGTAGCTGACCCCAAACATTTAGAATAAAGGCTTGGTGGTTGTTGTTGTTGTTACTCAATTATACAATACATGTTCCCATTTTTAACACTTCTCATAAACTTGTTAGACATATATCCAACACTCCATTACTCTTTTTGAGACTCGTGGGACACGTTTCAACCGGTACCTAGTTCAAAACTATGATTCTGAAGGACCTTTTGGATTTTGGTTAATAAACATGAGGTTTTCCAATTTATAATCTATGTCATGCGAGAAATATAAAGATGTTAGAGAATTTTTTAAGAAAAATTTCAGAAAAACCCCTTCTTTTCTCACATAACACCCCTTAGCTTTCAAAATGTCACACATAACCCCCTTAAGTTTTGGGATTCTCATAAAACCCCCTCTAAAAACCCCTCTAACTGTAATTTTCACATGAGTGGATAAAATTATTGTGAGCATTATTTTCAGCTAGTGAAAATGTGCTTCCTGCCTTTTGGGTGGGTGTGGGCGGGGTGGTTTTTTTTTTTTTTGAGGGGCGGAGGGGGGGGGGGGGGTTGGGGGTTGAAAATATGAAAAGTGAAGGCTTCTGAAAAATCAAAGGGGAGATTTTGTGTCATTCTAAAACTGGAGGTTATCTGAGAAATGCCCAAACTTAGCACTAAGATCATCCACACAAAACAGTACAGGCAAATCCTAAAGAAATATGCTTATTCTATTATTCCAACCAGAGACAAGGTATGGAAGCTTACTCCACACAATACCTCAACATACTAAGCTTAAAAACTAAACGAAGCAAAGAGCAAAACGAATAAGTACTACCCAGGAAAAGCTAATGAATATACTATGTAATGTAGGCAAATAGCTGCCACCGATGCTATTACTATACTTAGCTCCTATGTTCAAGCAAGCACCAACCACTGCAAAATCTAATTTTTTTTTTTCACAGCAGCCATCCTGGTGAGGAATCTATGAAACAGAAAACACACGGCGTAAACTAAAACATACCGCCACAGATCATAACTGATATATCAATACTTCTAGACTACAGAATGCTGCGACTTATGCATCAGCTGTTCATCTTTTACTGACAAAGTCTATATTCTCTATTTGTATATTCAAAAGTTAAAGAAACTAATTATATTCTTAGAGCTGTACCTCTTGTATCCAATGTCAGAGAAGATAAAAAGTATAGCTGCTATCATCATTTGCATTTGGAGCTTGATTTCTCCTGGCGCTTCTTGGAGCAACAGGTGGATGTCTAGGCATTCCATAATCCGGTGAGCCATAAGAAGAATGGCCACCACCAGCTGTTTGTCGTGGCACACAATACCTATTTGTTTCTATTCTACCGTGATATGAACCAGCAGATGTAATAGTCAGAGGCTGAGTATTCCAAATTGAGGCTGATCCATAACCTGCATTGCCACCTGTACGTGCACTAGGATTTCCTTGGGCGCCCGAAGGCCCACCATGTGAGGCTGACACGTAACCTGCATTGCCACCTGTACGTGCACTAGGATTTCCTTGGGCACCCGAAGGCCCACCATGTCCTCCGAGACCATACTGATAACTAGTCATTCCATAACCTGATGAGCTATAAGAAGAATAGTGACCACCAGCTGTTTTTGGTTGCATATCATACCTATTTGCATTCATTCTACCATCATATGAATCAGAATTTGCACTAGAACTACGACGATGGGCAGGCCTAACGTCCATCAATCTCCCATTCAGCTCATGAAATGTCTCATCCAGCACCCGATTAACAGCATATTCATTCTCATAGGAGACAAATCCAAAGCCATGAGATCCCAGGTAGGGGTGGTAAATGATCGAATCGAATCGAATACTAAAGTGTTCGTATTTGTATTTGTTTAAAATTATCGAATTCGAATGCAGACTCTAATATTCATATATGGAGTTTTTCGAATTCGAACTCGAATACTTGGTATTTGATAAATATTCATGAATATTCACGAATACTTTTCGAATATCAAAGTATATTTATTCCACTAAAGAATTTAATTTTCAAATGATATTTAAATTCATAAATAAAAAATATTCCTTTATAATAAGTAATGTATGTATATTTAAATCAAAATTTTCATTAGAAAATAAATTTAAGATTAGTTTTAAGTCTTAAAATCAGTACATAAAATTTAGTATAAATGGTAAATAGGTTAAAAATATGACATCATATGTGAAATAATACAAATAATAAGTGATCAAATTTTAAACGAATATTTGATAGACAAACGAATCGAATATACATCTGGTTAAATTCTATTTGTTAGTAAACTCGAATACTAAAAAATATTTGTTTAGTGGTAAATGAACTACCGAATCGAATATGACCGAATTGTTACTCGAATAATTATCGAACTATTTGTTAATTATTTGGTTCACTTCCACCCCTAATCCCAGGGTCTTTTTATCACGTATGATGACTGACTCAGTCACAACGCCATAGTTCTGGAAATACTGGCAGAGTTCATGTTCAGTCACGGTAGGGGCCAACCCTCCAACATAAATTTGATCAGTCCAAACATTTCCACCACCACCTCCTCCTCCTCCATCCTTTATGAATCTTTTTACATTCACCTGAATAAACCCAAAATATGTTTACAGCATAGAATAAAACTATTTTGGGAGGATGAAAACATGCAAGCAAGCAGCGGAAATGCATTTCGTCGACAAAACCAAGTATACAATACAGAATACACTAGCTAATGACGACATTTAAAAACGGTAAAGATGGAAAGCCTTTAAAAGGATATTGAGCTCATATTGTTTGGTGGGAAGCCTTATAAAAGGGTATTTCAGTTGATATTATCTGTTATATCGGAGATATTTAAGACAATGGTTAAAATAGTTGATTGTTAACTCAAGTGCATAAGTTCCAAGAGATACGTGAGTACTCGT